ACGGGCTTCGCACCGGTGATTTGGCTCAGGTAAGAGTTTGTCTATTATTCCGGGTGCCAAAGCCCGTCACTCACTGCCTTGTTAGTCTCTGCCCGTAGAACGTCAGAACCCGCCACCGATCGGTAGAAATGGCAGCTTTTGTAACCACTGAGGCAGTCACGTGAACTAGTGAAAGCTTTTGACACCGTGAATGACCACCACGAAGGCCGATAGAGACGTCGTGAGCCTTATTGTGTAGCCAAGGCACTACCGCGGAGGGGGCAGGGTACCTGCGCTAGCTTGACCTGTAACGGTTACTACTACCAAAAGAAATAAAGGGAACATACTTAAGAAATAAAGTGCCCGTACCAGACGATGCAGAGGTAATCCATACGGCATTTATTTGAGCTTAATGTCAAGCAAATACCGTATTTGCCCGAATATAACACGAGTTTTTTCCGAAATTACGTGCTCCAAAACGCACCTCGCGTTATATTCGGAATCGAGTTCAGCCACGAGGCGCGAGTCTGGAGAAAGCCAGAGGAGAAAGCCATCCCTCCGGCTCAATGCAAAATATCCGGTGTGAAAAGAAGTGGGGGTGTGGAGGGGAGTTTATTAGCTATTGGGCCACGTGAAGGGGCGAATAGAAAACATAAAAAAGCATTTTTATCGCTTTTGTGTTTGTACAACACGCACACGCCAGAAACTCAGCGCGCGCGTGCGCCATGCGGGAATGCGGACACTGGTCAATTCGAGCAGAGCCAGGCCAAGTCAAGCCCACACAAGCCAAGCCAAGACCACCGACCGCGTTTACGCAATCGTGCAACACGAGGCATTTTTTTATGCAGAGGGACCAGAACAAGAAGTGTGATCGTGTATCGGATTCAGCAGTCTTTTTTATGCCTGCGCATTGTTTAGTTTTTGCTCCCGAGTGATCTGGTGTTTGTGTGTTGGTGCTTCTGCTTTGTGCCTTGTTTCGATCGCGGGCTGCCGAGGAGCTCGCACGAAAGAAAAGGGAACTACCAGTCAAGCAGGTGCCGTGCTGCTGCTTATCTGCGTAGTCCGTAGTCCGCCAAGTGGATTGTAAACGGAAGGACCTGAGCAGTGAGGATGAGTGCAGTCAAAACATAAACTGATATTACTTCTATTTCCATTGACTTTTCACTTCTGCTATGCCCCCGAGTGCGAGAAATTGACGCGGCCTCGGTTCGCGTTATATTTGTAATAATATTTTTTTTTCTTCTTGAGGGCATCAAAACCTGCCCTAGCGTTATGTTCGTGAAAATATGGTAGTAGACTCAATCGATGTGCGAGTGACGGAAAGAGAGTCCGCCACCGACGAAGCCATGACCGGCTAGCACCGAACAGATTCCCCCGCACCGCAGTCCACCCCACCTCTCACAACTTCAGAAATGGTAAGAGCGAACGAGGGAGGAAAACTGGCCCTCTATCCCAAAAGCAAGGTTAGCCTATTCATGCGGGAAGGGTCCACTTTGAAGAAAATGTCGGGGACATCCTCTTGTGAGTCAGCAAGGCGTGCCTAGCTGGGCTTTGCTTGTGGGCGAAGTCGAGGGAAACACAGGCAAGTTTTGCGGGTCCATGTCTCTTCTTTCGTTGCCTGAACTCATGATGCGTGCAAACATCCCGAAAAGAAATCTTCAGAGTGCCAAAATAGAAAACTTTTGGCTTTGGATCATGGAATAAAGTCGATTTTGGATTGTAAAACAGGGTTGCCTAACGCAAGTCTTGAAAGATCAAGCGTGATCGCCAAGAAACCGCCAACCGTTTCTCGCCAACCGCCTCTCGGTGGTTCTGAACAGGGTCGCTAGCAAACCGCATCCGCAACTGCTTCGCGAGCGTGGATCCGCTTCCAGTGTGAATGTGCCATAACTATGGACTACCATCAACAACCGCCAAAGATATTTCAGAATTGGGCTGTGACTGTCGAAAGCAAGTAAATAAACAGAAGTCCTCTGGAATTTTATCAATCCCTCCCTGGAGTTTCACGAGGCCTTCCCAGGAGTTTCACGAGTCCCTCTCTGGAGTTTCAAGAGTTAACCCGGTCCCAACAGACACATTATTCTCTTACGTATGCCGGAACACGTATAGATTTCCGCTTCCGGTTCCGATGTCACCACTCCGTTTTTACATGTTCCGGTAGGCCTATTGAAAGTTCAAATATTTCTACCTTTTCGGGTGCTTGTATTGTTACGTAGGTGCCCGTATTGAGAGAGTGGTCAATCATAAAGCGCATTCGCCGTATTTTCTTCCTGCTCCATTGTCGGTGATCACTTGCTTAAAGGGATACTTCAACGAAATTTGAAATATTCCCGTCGTGTTCAAAAATAGGTTGAATATGATCCACAATATCCCTAAATGACAATCACACGTTTGTATTTTGAGCCTGGTGGCTGCATTTTTCGTTATAAACGGCCCACTCCGGCAAGCGCTCGGAGAAGGCCCAGCTTAGAGCATGTGACATTCAACGCAATCGTGATGTAGGTCGTCTCAAGACGAGCAAAGCTACGGCGAGGCTGACGTTGAGAGGATGGCCTAGTCGTTCCAGCCACCGAAGCGGCTGCTTTTGTGCGAATTTTGAGTGACGGGTTAATCTTCTATAATCTTCTAGGGGGACAATAGCGACTTCTGCGACACACAATAGGGATTCTCTGGAAGAAGGGAGTTCCTCCTTCCCCTCTTCTCTCGTCGTGGCCGGAGACGAGACAACCTCCGTCACTAGCTGTCAAGGTTCCTAGACGAGCATTACAAACGAGGCGTCAGCGACATCCACCAGGTGCTCTTTGCTAATCGCTTAATTCGTTTTAAAATTCATTTTGACACTTTTTTAACAAGATATTGGTATGTTCCATGTGACACTGCTCTTTTGAACACATATAGATAAAAAAATGAGCGCCGAAATTTCGTTGTAGTATCCCTTTAAAGCGTGCTTGACAAATGAATGACGCACTTGCAGAGCGCAGGGCTGGACAGGCGCTGTTGGCTTCTTGCAGCAATTTTTCTGCGCTTTACATCTCTCTCGTCTTAAATTTATGTCGGTATCCATTTTTGTGCATGGCAGTTTCTGCGTGACGACTTGAAAATTCGCCTGGTGTGCCACCGACGAGTGTTCAACATCCTTAAGCTTGGTTGACCGTGCAGATGAAGTGCCTGTCGTCCGGAGGAACGTTTGTCGGTGCCGCTTTTCTTTCTTTATTGGCTGTATGCCTCTGACAAGTTGTGTCACCAACGTCGTGGTGGTGTGAGCTTCACTCGCGGTGGTTTCTGTGGGACGGCGTGAAAATGCTGTGCTCACAACTATCGGTGCTATACAATGTGCGAGTTGTTCCAGTGTGCCACCGTCGTGCTGCCTCACCAGAATCCGTCGAGTCCTCTACTGGCTTTATTGAATGAAGGATGCATATTAAAATGATGCATTCAAAGCAATATTTATTTATCTAAGAAATGAGGTGTTTATGCCAAGTCTCGCAGTTTGTGATCAGTTGAGTGGTAAATCAGGTGAGCAATGACGGCCTCGTCCTACCATTGTCGTACATAGAGGCTTCGTAGGAAAAAAGGTGCAAGGAGCCTGCAGTCACCCACAACGACACAAAGTAGAAACATTTCTGTCCCTCTTCTTCACATTGTGCGAAATAGTGCAGGTAGTTTTGCTGCCTCACGACGATGTAAAACCGATCGATGTTGCTGACGTTTCCATGTCACAGAGCAGGCCATGCGCCATCTTCTCGACAGCGGAGGCACTTGCAGTGGCCGCATTACACCAGTGGCCAAAGTACCTGCGCCAGGCTCCACAGCATTGCCTATCCTTTCCCTCCTTCACCTCTTTATAGGTGCACAGGAAGGCGTATATTTATAGGTGTACCGGTGTACATAAGAGAAATATGTGTTTGGACCGCGCTTTACAGTAGTCCTTCTCTGGAGTTTCATAAATCCCTCCCTGGAGTTGCACGAGTACCCAAGGTGTCTAGGAAATTATTCTTTTGAAATTCCCTGACTTTTCCAGGTTTTCCCTGATAATTTCAGGTCAAATTCCCTGACCACTCTAGAGGCGGTTAAATATATAAGACCATTACAACATAAGGCATTGAGCATTGTGAGGATCATTTTGCACGGGCAATCTAACTTACGTATTCCGAAATATTTGGGTTTATCCAGTCCAGCTTAAACAAGCACTTTCTTGCCGCGGACATCGTCAGTGAAGAGGCCACTTCCGGAAACACAATGAAAACACGACACTCAACTACACACGTCAATAACCAAATGGCAACATGGCCACCGGATGCACTTTCAGATACTTTCCGGTTGGACTGGATTGGAGTCTGCAGCTTTCCCATTCATTACGAAATCTAGTAGCTCTAACTGTATCTAGTTTAGTGTCGCGCTCCCAATCCAATCTAATCCATGGCTTAGACTGGAGTTGTCGGTAGTTCCCTTTGCATCGGGTAGCACACTCTACATCGGGGGAGCAGAGCCCGCGCCTCACTCTAAGCAGAATTTATTGCCTACATTTTTGCCCCCAGGTCCTCAAGTCTGTGCTCAGGGCACTCAATGGCGTTTCCGGCTCATTTTCCCTGACTGGGCTCGCTTATTGACAATATCCCTGACAATTCCCTGATTTTTCCCGGTAATTAAAATTTCCCTGACATTTCCCAATCACTAGACACCCTGATACCTCTCTGGAGTTTAATAAAAAGTCCCTCCCTGGAGTTTCACGAGTCCCTCCCTGGAGTTTCACAAGCCCCACTCCGAGCTTCACGAGCCCCACTCCAAGTTTTACAAATCCCACTTTGAGTTTTAAGACTTCGAGTTTTACGAGTCCCATTTTGAGTCCATGAGTCCCTCCTTGGAGTTTTTCACAAATTCCTCTCTGCAGTTTCATGAGTACCCCTCAGCAGTTTCACGAGTCCTTTTTAGGAGTTTCATAAATCCCTCTCTGGAGTTGCACAAGTCCCTCTCTGGAGTTCCACGCGTGAGGTAACCGAATGGTATTGCACGGCACCTACCTGGGTTGCACTCATAGGTGAACACCACCACGGGAGGAAGAAGCAGGATAGAGGACAGGTTGAGGACCTGGATGTGCCTGGCAGTGCCCTCGGACAGCATACCCTGGAAAAAACCCATGTGGCAGCCGGTGCTGCCACTCTGCGAGGGACTTGCTTACCGTGGAGAGCAGCTTCTCGACACCAAGAGCGCAAAGGATGCACAGGTTGAGACCTGTAGGACAACCAGGCAACTTATATTTCTTGACAACTTTATATGCAAAATCTTTGCAAACAGAAAAATTGCAAAACATTCATTGCTCAAATATGTCGCCCACGGCAGGGAGTGAACGGACAAGTTTGACCCTGATTTCAACAATTAGTTTCCGCAAAAAATTTTAAAAAATGTTCCGTTTGGTTATTAGCAAAATATTAAGCCCGCTAACATACCGCAATCTACAATACCCTATTTTCGAGCGTACGACAATCCCGCTATGCGCAAAGAAATTTGGAAGGGTCCCAACCGCGACGTGTCCAATATTTGTAGCTTCTGCACATTTATTAAAAATCAGTCTAAACTCGGTTTGTACTTGGAAACCTAAAACATGTAGTACAGCAAGTGGCAAGATTGTCGTTGAAACGGTTCCTGAAAGTGCACTTGACCGGTGCCTTTAGCGTGCTATAGTACCGATGCACCGAAAGTGGCAACAAATCGCATCAGAAGTTGCGATTCCAGCAGTTTGTTGTGGAAGGCCTGCAAAAAGGACAATGCGAGCATCGTCCTAACTCATGGCTTCTGGGTTTTTCATGGATTGTCCAATCAAAGAGCGACCTAGAGCAGAACGGGCGTTTGCTGCATCCCCATCCGCCACCATTGAGGCCGTTGCAACACGAGCGCGACGTCGTCCGACGGAAATCAAGTGTCGAAAGTTTGCGGTGGGCGGTCAGAGACACGTTCCAGGCACCGCTCCGACGCAATGTGCGAGGGGACGCGACCAGAGGGGTAAAGAGGGGAGAATTCTAAGCGCCCACATCAATGGTCCCGAGGCCGAGAAAGAGAACAACGGAGAAGCAGAAAAAGAAAGGTTGGGGGCATTGAAACGCTCGACAGCTCCAACTTGTTCTAGCGTTTGTCAACTTTATTTCTTTTTTTACATTGTGCGATGCTTGTATTTTCTGCTAAGTAGCAAATAAAACTAAAACAATAAGTACAGATCTTGCAAGTGATGTTTTCCTGCTTCCTTGAATGGTTTAAAGCGTTGCCAGTGATCTGGGCCCACTGAAGCTGCCAATAAGACCACCAATGTTTGTGTCTATGTCTTGCCGTTTCAAAGCGGCCCCAATCCATGGGACCTTTCCCTCTAGATTATTGTATTGACTCTACGGCAACGGCGGAAACGGAAGGGCGGGCAAACCCACCTGCGAGGATGTAGAGGGGTGGCCAGACGCCCGGGTCCAGCAGCATGTAGCGCACCCATTTGCCGGGGTCCACCAGGATGCCGTACCTGCGTCGCCCAAGATCAGCGGCCGCCCCGGCAACCCCCCGGGGCTGCACTCACTTGAGCAGGTTCTCCAGCGCCACCCGGCCATTGGACAGCACCTGCGGTTGGCCAGACTCAATCTCGGATCTCAAGGAGCGGCACTCTTGGCAAACCACACCTAGGATTGCTTTTGCAAACATTCAAACGACTGCAAAAGTATGCTTAACATTGCACCCACAACCGCCCGTAGGGCGGAGAATTAGATGTGTATCTGTCATCTACAGATAATGCTGGCTGTTGGGCCGAAACCGGAGTATTAAGATTATGCGCATGTACAATGCACCTAAGCGCACAATGTACAGTCGAACCTTGATGTAACAAACATCTATGTAATAAAACCCCTGATGTAACAAAGTACATCAGGCATTTCATTGTGCAATGTAATTTAATGAAGTACATTGTGGTACATGCAAAAGAAAAGAAAAGCATTTGCAGGAAACACCCCCTGTGTAAAACAGCCGGCATGAGCCCACAGGAGACGTTATCTCTGGGGATGCAAGGTTTTTCAAACTGTTGTGATGAAGAGGAGAGACAAATATTTCATCTAGGCAATAATTAAAATCGACGAAGGAAAAGAAGTTTTCCATTAAATGAAAGTCGACGAAGAAAAAGATGTTATTCAGTAAATGATTGTTAGTCCAGCGGAGTGCGTGTGTTTGTTCCTTGTGCCTCTCTCTGTCTAGCATATTTCTTCCTTTGTTCAGCTGGCATATCCTAAAGTATGAATAACCAACCTGCTCAGCTTCAGGCAATCATCACGCAATCGTAACGAAGTACATACCTTTTCTAACCGCAAGTGTATGCACGCCATGTATTTCTTATCTCTATGTAATGAAGTCCCGTTCGCCGAAATTGTGATGTAAAAAAGTTTCACGAACAATTTGGCACTAACTTTTGGGTCCCAGAGGAGATTTTGGGAAGCAAACGCGCTGAAACGGGCCCCCGATAAAACGCAAAGGGTGAAACGGGCCGCCGATCTGGCCCAATGTAGAGTTCCGGAATAGGCTTTCTACGGGAGCCAGAGTTGCGCATCTGCTTTCCACGTGCCGCCGTGCCGCTATTAGCCGAGATCCGATCACGTGAGGAGCCGGATCAAGTGCCGTGCAAGAAAGTAGACGTTGCACGCGCCCCGGCGTACGTTCCCCTGCTTTTGAGCGCGCCTCGAATGCGCGGCACCGCTATTCGCCGAATTCAGTCATGTGAGGAGCAGGATCAACATGCTGTGCAGGAAAGACGGCGCTACGGGGATGAATGCGCAACTCTGGCTCCCGTAGAGAGCCTATATAGAAACTCTAGCCCAATGCTGCAGAGGGTGCCCTCTGGGGAGAAGTCGGCGAATCTGGCAAGTGTGGTGTAGTACAGAACAACCACTAGAGGACACTAGAGCTGCCACAGTTTCGTCCGTCGGCTTCGTTCGCGTTGCGCAGTTCGTTTCGAAGCCTAACTAAAAGCATGTGTTTCTCGTTGTCCTGGGCGATGGAGCTTTCAAGATGGAGCCTTCAAAATGGAGCCGTCCCTGCCAACGTCGACCTCGACGACTTTTTATACGCCGACTCCGTTGTCATTGCGACGAAGGAGGTGACCGACAAGGCGATAGCTAGCGATGTTCGTGGAAACTCGCAAGACGGGGACGATAGCGAGCCTGATGAGCAAGATACCAGCGATGGGCCCAGTAACCGTAAAGTGATGGACTCCATCGATGCCTTGAGGCGGTTCACGAGCACACAGCAAGACAAAGACGCGATGCAGGCCGTCTGGATATGCAAACTTCACATGATGCCAATAATAATGTCAAGAGTGGCTCAGAAAAAAGTGACAGACTACTTTCAACCGAAAAAGAGGCGTCCTCGGTGAGTTTTGTGCACCCAGGAAACATTTGCGGAAACTTTCTTTAACAGCCCCGAATTTCTATGTAGCGAAATTTCAGTCTAACGAAGTAAATTCAGAATTTTACCAACTTCGTCACATTGAGGTTTGACTGTACTACTTTCAAGGAATGTGGCTACATCTACAGCACTCGCTAGAAGATAGTTTCATTTTTTGGTAGTTTGGGCAAAAAGGTTCCTGTACCATATTTTCTACACTGTAGTCCGCACGTAGTCAGTTGGAGGGTCCTTGTAATGGTGTAGCTGAGTACAGGTAGAATCGCGAACAGCATGAGCGGGAATGCTGGAGCAGGTGACCTTCGATGCATGCTGCGCTACCTCGAAGCTGATAAAACAGCGTGGTGAACAGGGTCTGCACGTCAGAGCTCACACTCTCGCAGCCCCTCTCCACTTCACAGCTTCATTAGCCTCGAGGCATGTATCAAAGACTGAGCTAAGGCGTTCCCGCTCGTACTGTTCGCGATTGTACGGCTACTTTCTATTTTCATGTCGAGATTTACTGATGGCTGGATACCTGCCTTTTTGTACAGTGCAGGCATCGCGATACAAAGTGTAGAGAAAGATAATATGGTTACATAAAGGTCAAAGTCACAGTTAAATGCAATGACATCTACAATTGAGAACAAAACAAAAAAAAACAATAGGAAAGCAGAAAGCATGGCGTAAGGAGAAACATCAGGGGACACTAACAACCACGAAAGTTTGTTTTATTTTTTTTTTGCCAGGCGATTCATTATGGTGTCAGAAGGCTACCCAATCAATGTTTTACTAAAGCGATGCGTGTATTTTGAATAAAGTAAAAAAATGCAACTGCTCAGAACCAAAACTGGACTGGGGAGGAAGAAGAAATATAGAGGAGTACAGAGTTGGCAAAAGTCACGTGGCTGTGCAACTATTTTTTCTTTCAATCAAGGTATTTTCAGCTTTTTAGAAGCCACAAAAAATGGGTATCATATTGATTTTTTTTATTTTTAATACTGAGTGTGGTGCTTTCGATGATTCACGACTTTGACTATCTTTGGTGGTTGTGTCTAAACCATAGAAAACGGCACGTGACAACGGAGAAGAGAGCGAGCGCGACTCAAACCGGCCAGTTCTCGGTCGGCAGTTTTCGGGCGGAGAGAATACGAATTTCGAGCCGCCAATTCTGTTGTGGGTAGTTGTGCTCTCATATGTCACATATAAATAAAAACCTTGGCGAGCATAAATACCCTGCTAGTGTCCCTTTAAGGGTAGTGCAGAAACCAAACTTGAAATTAGAAATGTGGTTGGAACACTTGGAAGCATCTCAGTTTTAGAGAGTAAAACAATGAGATGTTTACAATTCTCTGTAATGCTGAATTAGACCGTAGCTCTTGAGGAGGAGGAGGAGGGTATGCCCCTCTTCTCCCTTCTCTCCCGCTCCCCTCCCATTTAGTGGGAAACTTTTGCTAAATGTAGCGGAAAAATTTCCCCGCTAATTTTAGCGGAAAAATTTCCCCGCTAAATTTAGCGGAAAAATTTACCCCGCTAAATTTAGCGAAAAAATTTCCCCACTAAATTTAGTGAAAAAATTTCCCTGCTCAATTTAGCGGAAAAATTTAGCAGGGAAATCTTCCTGCTAAATTTAGAGGGAAAACGTCCCATGATGCAACGCACGGTTACGCGGACGCCAAGGTCGCTCAACCCAGAAACGGGCGCCTAAGAGCTGCGCTCTAAAAAGCACATAGGTATAAATTATTTAATTCTGAAGCTTTTACCACGCAACTCTTAGGTGCCCGTTTCCGGGTTGAGCAGAGTCAACGTCAGCGTAACCGCGCGTTGCATTACGGGACATTTTCCCGCTAACTGTAGCGGGGATATTTTTCCACTAAATTTAGCAGGGAGGGTACGTCCTCAAGAGCTGACGTCTAGTTTTGTATTACAGATTTGTAAACGTCTTTCATATTTTATCTTGATTTTAGTGATCATGCATGTATACCTCTGAGGAATTGACACTAAAAATCACTTTAATTCTTCAAGGTGTTAAACAACAAAAAATAATTGCAGCCTATACGTTTTAAAGAATGGGCTTCGTACGACAGGTCGTGTTCCCCGGAAGACTGTAGGGGACTTGGTACCAAATTCAAAGACGTCCAACGTCAGAGTTGCGTTGAGAGGCCAGCGACACCTGGAGACCTACTTGTTCAAAGATGATTTGGCCAAGAGCCTGGAGAAGCTTTTTCAAGCAAACTACTTTTATTTTCAACGTATTTTTACTGAGAAATAAGGCAACATACTACAATTCTATTAAATAGCGAACAAAAGAAAATGGCTCTCCCACGACACAACTCAGTAAGGAAGTTTTAAAAAGCTTTCTGTAAAACATGCTTATATGTGTAGTTCATTCGTGGAAAATTAAAGGGGTCATGAAACACTTTTCTAACTTTTTCCCTGTTTAGATTTCCTCCCGAACTCATAAATCGCACATTCTACCTAACGGTTCAAGAAGACTGAAAGGGGGGAGTCCCGTCTTGCTCGGACTCTCGTTTCTGTACAAGGACACAGCCATTCTCCCCCTAGAAGATTAGCTCGTCGCTCAAAATTAAGACAAAAGTTGCTTTCTCAACCCCGTTCACCCCGAAGCTGACAGTGCTGTGGAAGCTACGTGCTGTTGGGCCAGCCACACTTTTGCCACGTGATCACGCTCTCTCGCGCATACCGACCCGCAGAGAATGAGGTTCAATGATGAAAGGGAGGCTCCTGATTGGTCCAGCAAGTGCGTAGCTTCAACCACAATGTCAGCTTAGGGGTGAAGGGAATAAGTGAGGTCCGGTGTCGTGCGACGTGCATTTGGACCCGGTGACACGCTTTGGGTTGTGGAAGTATCGCAGTGAAAAGGCAGAGAGCTTATGAAGGGAAGGAGGTACGAAATAGTCCACTGTGTTTTCAAATTTTTGTTCCAAAAGTAGGGCTTTTGACTTTCTACCTTTTTTGTATTTGCACACTGAACCATGTGCTATTAGTAAAATCCCAACCTAAATTGATTTATCCCAGCCCAAAATTCGTGTCATGGGCCTTTCAACTTTACAAAATAACAGACTGAAGCAGCAGTTAGTGGAGGCTAGCAGCTATTTTCTAGTATTACTAATGTCGCCTCTCCTAACAATATTGCCTCTTGTAACAATATTGTTTTTTTCTCTCTCTCTCTGTCTGTCTGTCTGTCTGTCTGTCTGTCTGTCTGTCTGTCTGTCTCTGTGTGTGTGTGTGTGTGTGTGTGTGTGTGTGTGTGTGTGTGTGTGTGTGTGTGTGTGTGTGTGTGCGTGCGTGCGTGCGTGCGTGCGTGCGTGCGTGCGTGCGTGCGTGCGTGCGTGCGTGCGTGCGCGCGTGCGCGCGTGCGTGCGTGCGTGCGTGCGTGCGTGCGCGCGTGCGTGCGTGCGTGTGCGTGCGTGCGTGTGAGTGCGAGTGCGTGCGTGCGTGCGTGCTTTTAGGGGCCCATTCGGCAAGTCTCATTTTAGCACGCTAAGAGGCTTTAACACGGCTCTCCGCACGGCGCGCGTGTCCGCCTTTGACACTTATCCCATATCGTGCAAAGTTTACCTAGAATCGGAGGCTTGGCGGCAAGCCGGCCGGGTCATCAGAGGCGTGCTCCTTGCCCCGTTGGCTTGGCACGTTACCAAAACCGTGCCCCAGACAAACGGAAAACATTCCGATGGAACGATTGCTCACTGTCGAAACTTGCGAACAACCGTGAAGGAAAACTACGCGGTGCACGCCCGCGCGCGCCAGTCAAACACGCGGCGCAACGGGTTGCCGGACTCACCAGCAGGATGATGCAGAAGTTGAGCAGGCCACGGTAGTTGGTCCATCCCCGCGTGCCGCTCAGCAGCGAGTCCCTCGGCTTGTGGATCCTGCAGCAGAGCGGAGAGTTGGCTCATACCGATGTGCAGAGGACAAGTTGAACGGAACAGTCGGGCCACAACCTGTCCGAGAAAGGAGACTTGAGCTTGGGCACGAGCTTCTCGTCCACGTCGTTTGTATCCCCGCACGACAACATGATCCGCGGCACGCTAGAGCCACTAGAGCAGCTACAACCACGAAACCCCTGCCCTACTACGCTGTTCGTTGCGGCAACGAGCGCAAAAAGTGAGAAAGTGCGCGAGGCCGACCGACCAGCTGACGAAATAAACCACCAGACAGGCCAAAGAATCTAACGACGGAGAAACGACGGCGAGGGAAAGAAGAGAGGGGGAAAAGAGGTACCAGGGGTGGCACTCCGTTTTGCGATGATGAACGCAGATGGCGCTGCTTACATGATATCAAAAGAGCGGGAACATCAAACTGCGCAAAAGGCAATCAAAATGTCGTCAGCTTTATGCTGTACTTTTCTCTTTTCAACTTGGACTAAAACTCCTGAGCTGCTCACTTGGAAAGCGTGCTGGGAAATTCGCGAGCCCAGTGCAACCTTGTACATATTACAAAAAAAAAAAAAAAAAAATTTGACATTCTTATTACTCTTGGACTTACTTGAAAGGAAACGTAATTGACCATTACTGGAAAAGTAACCATTACTTTTTAAATAACTTAATATTTTCAAAACAGCCTTTTTTCTGCCAGTTTGAAAACGGGCCTCTCGATTGATTGTTCCTGGACACTATAGTAAACACTGACTGATTGATTGTTTGATTCATTCATTCATTGATAACAAACTAGTCATCTTCTATATTGACCACTTTTGGTAGACCTTCCCCTTATCGGAGGCTTGGTTCGAAGGGACGGCGCCAGGATCTTCATAATGGGGGGGGGGGCAGTGGGGAGGCCAACCAAATTGGGGGGGGGGGGGGGGGGGGGGGTGCTCTGAGGTGCCGTCGCCCACGGGCTTATCGAGATAGCTTATGCGGTGTGCTCATTAAAAAGGGAAATGAGGAGACACGAGAAGGAAGAGGGGGGGGGGGGGGGGTTATCACAGCAGTGACCTCTGCCCCCTGTGCTCATGACTCACAACCAGGTTTTGCTTGCCTTTCTGAGACAGTACGGAATTACCTATGACCTCGACTCCCCTTCGTTCACGTCTCCGGTCTCCGCTGAAGATAAGCGCCACACAGCGGAATGCGGAGAGAAAAGCCAGCAGGTGTCACAAAAGGGAGCTGCTTTTTCTAAAGCGCTCGATAGCTTACTCGCCCGCGGTACGACTTCCAGTGGCTGGAAGTTAATAGAAAAAAAAATAATAAAAGGCAAGAACGGCTCTAAAGTCTGGACACTCGTTCCATTGGGTTTTCAAGCCGACATCGTAGGCAATTATTTGTGTACAAAGCTGCTTCATCATGGGGTGGCAGAAGAAATTTTAGGCGAGGCGCCCGCCACCCCTCACCTTCCCTTGGCGCCGTCCCTGTTGGTTCGAGGATTCCTTGGTAGAAAGGTTGTGGATACAAAAAACGCCATTAGGAGGAGGAGGAAGAGGAAATAGTAAGGGTTAGCGAGTGGTTTGAACTGCGCCTTGGGTGCATTGGAACGCAAGGAGTCAGTGGGCAACATAAAGAACGCGCGATGACGAGGCAGCCGAGTCCGCGCCTTCATTGCTTCGGGTCAGGGGAAAACAAAAGCACGACGTGCGCAAGGAGCAGACCAAATTGCACGCCATGCCGTATTACTTTCAAAAGTATTGTGATTACTGCCCAATGAAGGTAATAAAATCATTTCAGAATTACTCTGAAAAGCAATCGATTACAAGCAATTGGATTGCTTGTAATCAGTACAGTACAAGTCTGGCCCAGTGCTGTCTTTCGTGTCGTCGCAACTAGAGCCGGCCGCTGGCCCTCTGGCGGACGAACGAAGAACTGGAGGAGCGGGGACGGTGGCGGGGACGGTGGCAGAGACTTTCGGCCTTTCTGCTGCTGTTCTGGTCGGCGTGTTCCTGCATTACGCAGTATTCACGAAAAAGCGAGTGCTTTCCCTAGTGAAAAATAGACCAGGCCAAGGGCTGGTGTGACTTGATGTGACACCAGACTTTTTCACAGATGTGATTTGGGACATTTTAAGGGTCATTCCATGTCAAGCGACCTAGGCGTGACGTTCGACCATCGCCGATTCTTTCGTAAGAAATTACAGGGGTTTCTTAAAGGGACACTGACAGGGTATTTATGCCCGCCGATATTTTAGTTGTACGTGACATATGAGAGCTCAACTACCCAGAACAGAATTTGCGGCTCGAAATTCGGTTTCTTTCCGCCCGAAAACCGCCGATCAAGAACTGGCCGGTTCGAGTCCCGCTCACTCTCTTTTCCGCGGTCACGGGTCGTTTTCTAAGGTATCGATGCGACCACCAAATTTAATCAAAGTCGTGGGTCACTGAAGGCACACACTCAATATTAAAAATAGAAAAAAATATGAAACCCATTTTTTTGTGGCTTCTAAAAAGCTGTAAATACGTTGATTGAAAAAAAAAGTTCCACAGACAACCGGAAGCATTCTGTGCGTTCGTCGTTTCGTGTATCGTGGGACTCGCGGGGACGGCGATGGCAGCGGACGACGGGCGTGGGACCTCTATTTCAGAACTGTCGTTCGCGGTACCGGCGAATTCTGTTTACCGTTAAAAGAGAAATTTGGGACTGATAAAAAGAATTGGTATTCATCCCGTACGACACGCCCGGCCACCAAGCCGATTTGCACGAAGACGTCGCCGAGCCGTCGCTCCCTTCTCGTGGCTGAAGACAACGCTCGCGCAAACGTCAAGCACGACGTGTCTACTTCGAGTTGAATATGCACGCGTACGATTTCTTTACTAGGTGCGAATGTCCCCAAAGCGGGGTGCTTCCCGACTTCGACCCGGGAGTGCTTTTGCTAGAGAAAAATCGACAGCAAACTTTCCAACTTACAGTTTACCGGCTGAATTATTACTAAGGAAAGAGAGCCACCAGAAAAGAGATGCTCAGTAGCTCAGGGGGAAGGACGTCCGCTTCACGCGCGGTAGGACCAAGTTCGATCCCCCGTGAAACTTTTTTTTTTTTTTTTCAAACATTTTTTGATATTTACATATTTTTTTTCTTTTTTTTACAATCATCACTGAAGAAAAACAAAAAAATAACAAACAAATGTTGTGGACGATACTTCGCAGAATTGAATGGTATGGGATTCCCGTTTTGACACGTGCGAACTCAATGTAATCACTTTCCACAAAATGCAAGAAGCATATAAATCAGGTAGCGTCCGCTTTCCGAGGTGCCCGTAAACGTTCTACAGGAATTGCGGCCAGCCATTGGTCCCGATCCCGTTGATCTTTCGGAAACTCTGTCGCACAATGCCACTTTTTTTCGGATGCAGGACATGTGAGCCAGCTCTTCACGCAACATGTTGAGTGTATTCTTTTCCGAGCCGATCATGGAAATTCACCACGGGCACTCACTACTCATCTCCAACTCCTCAATGTACAAAACAACTCATCTTGGAGTACAGAACAACGAGCGGAACAAACATAACTGCAAAATAATCGCACGGCGAGCAGTTCCCGCACGCCGCATCGCACGCCGCATGTCGTGTCGTCTGCTACCGGAGAGGAGAGAAAAAAAAAAAAACGCACAGTCGGGTGTAGCCACGTGACTTCCGCCACTCACTCTCTTCTCTCCACTTCTCCGACCTCCGTCGGGTTTCGGTTTCGGTTTTGAGCAGTTGCGTCTTTTGGCTTTATTAAAAAAATACGCTACTCTGTTGCAAAATATTAATTGGGTAGTCCTCCGACACCATAATAAAGCGCCTGGCAAAAAATAAAAAAATTTTTTTGGGGGGTGTCAGTGTCCCTTTAAGGGGTATTCACACGAGGGAGAAATCACGGGGACCTCTCCACGGCACGCGCATCCCGCGCCGAAAACGTCAGGATTTGCTGTGGGCAAAAGCCTTGCGTTTTCATCTCGTGATGCGCGCGCGCCGGGGAGAAATCTCCGGGATTTCTCCCTCGTGTGAATACCCCTTAGTCACTTGCCTAAATATTTTTGTCCACAAATTTTTTTTTGGCCGCGCTAGCGCTGTTCGAAATTCCAGGAGAGGCGCGAAACTAGGCACAAGTAAAAAAATTGCCAAAAGTACAGATCTCTAGTTACCGCGTACCCCTCTGCGCCAGTTATCTCCTCTTCTAAGGCATCATATTCGACAGATGGCTCGATTTCTTGAGCTCACTGATGTCGGTTGGATCCGTGGCCAGCAGGGCGCCAATCTCGTTGATGATTTTTGTTGTGGTGGCTCGCGGGGTAGTCCTCTTTCGCTTCAGGCGGTCGACGCCCTGCTGGCTCGTAGTAGGCATGATCTGGCCGTTAATTCTCGGGTTTCGCCACCAAAAACTGTAATAATTACTAGCTTTCTTTGTTCTTTCGCGACCAGACCAAGCTCGACGGAAGTCGGGAAAGTGCACCAGCACACATCTTTTCGGCTTCGACCCACAGAGAAGACTTCTTTCTTTTCTTAAACTTCAACAAGAATTCGCGACTCCAGCGACCTATAGGGGGCGCCACCACCAAACAAACATGGCGGCTGAGTCCAGGTCGCGGCGGCCCGGCCGGGCCACCTGAATGGGTGGCGCATTCAATTTAACAGATTTTCTTTTGTTTAATGCCCAATTTTATGGGTATTTGAACTGAGACAATTAAGTGTAGCCGGTGCGCATAAACTTGCCGAGCACAGTTTTGTTTTGCCGGTGTTTTTTTGTTCTTTTCGTGTCAAACTTTCGTTTCGGAGATTTTGTTCAAAACCGAAACTATGGGCTCCGGAGAGACGGTAATATACTAATCAGTTTTGATCATCTAAGGAAAGCGGCGATGACTATAGAATTGTTCCACAGAGAGTAACTTTTCAGCTAACTCGCATGCCTCGACCATGCGACTTATCTGTCCGCGAAATCGAGCTTTTGTACGTATCCGCGTTT